TAGCGTTGTAAGTTCGCAGACATGCCGCTGTGCCACTGGGGGGCCAGTCGTTATGTTAAGGTTATATTTATGTGCTAGTTTTTCCAACTTTCTGATTTTAGTTTTTAAGAAAACTAGCACATAAATATAACCTTGACATAACGACTGGATTCATTTTCACCCCAAGAATGAGAATTAAACACACGATAAGAAAGTTAAATAATGAACCCACTCCACCAGGAAATGTTTATATATGAATAAAAACAAACATAGTTTTGCTGAACAGAATGTCACAATACTAAAATATGAACCTGACATTACCTGAAGAAAAATCAGAGAAAACTTACTAATAAAATCAAACAATCCCACAATCATCAAATACCCAGACACATAAATCAAACAATCCCACAATCATCAAATACCCAGACACATAAATCAAACAATCCCACAATCATCAAATACACAGGGTATTTGATGATTGTGGGATTGTTTGATTTATGTGTCTGTGTATTTGATGATTGTGGGATTGTTTGATTTATGTGTCTGGGTATTTGATGATTGTGGGATTGTTTGATTTATGTGTCTGTGTATTTGATGATTGTGGGATTGTTTGATTTATGTGTCTTCAACTACGTCTTGTCAGAACAGTGCTGCTGAAAGATTATCGCTAAGTAACTAGTTCAAATACGTCTTATCAGAACAGTGCAGCTGAAAGATAAATAGCAAATTATACATTATACGAAAATCTACACTATGGGCTATCTGCACCTTACCCACCTTAACGACGTAAGCCAGTATACTTGCCTCTGAACCACTGGGGGAGGGGATACCGAAATACTTTGTGAGTAATCTAGTCTATATTTATAAATAACGTTTGCAAACATTCTAACTGAGCCACCACGTTGGGAGATGCACTGACTTGACCGTCTCATCAGTACTCTGTAATATAAGGCTATTACATGTTGGTTAGAGCACTACCTTCAATAACTTATTAAGTGCTCTAATAATGAGTTGCGTATCGTTAGAGAAGACTAATGATTTATATTTTGAGTTAAAATCCGTCCAGGTGCATACAGGATCCTAATTTGCAAACTTTGACATATTATGAAGAACTAGTATAAAATCTTGATCGGTAAACACAATTTAAAACCAATGGTAATGCGTACTTATAATTTACGAAATATTACTGAGCACATTTTATGAAATTAGAGAAAAATATAGTTCCAAATTCTGACACCAAAATGTTTAAAACAGGCAATAATATCTAGCTAACAGGTAAAAGAGTCTTTTTAGCTATGTATCTAATGCAAAATAAGTCCTTGTATAAGATAACTTTATTTATTGTGTGTATTGAATGTCATACATAGAAATAATTCTTTTTATCCTTGTCATATCCATGATCTATAAAATCATTCAATATTAAACAAAAGTGAATATATTAATATTAAAGCTTATGGAGAAAACGAACAAGTGTTGAAGGCACTTGAAAACATTATGCTGTTAATGCGAACAGTCGTTACTGTATGGTATGTTGTGTTTCTCTTCTGCTTGAAAAAACATGTGTAAAGTATTAATTCTTCCAAGCTGTTTACCCCCTAAAAAAACGCTTTTGTTTGTTGTTAGCGCAAAGCTACACGATTGGTTATCTGTGCTGTATCCACCACAAGTATTGAAACCCGGTTTTTAGCGATATTAGTCCCCAGACTTACCACTGAGCCACTGGGGGAACGAAGAAAAAGAGTAACGTGTTATGTTGTTAAAATACAAAAATTAAAAATCACAGTAAGACAAAACTTTTAGAACTTTATTACCTTACTTCTCACAGGTTGCTGTATAAACATATGTTACTTTCTTTACACAGGGTGCTGTATAATCATATGTTACTTTCTTTACACAGGGTGCTGTATAATCATATGTTACTTACTTCTCACAGGTTGCTGTATAATCATATGTTACTTTCTTTACACAGGGTGCTGTATAATCATATGTTACTTTCTTTACACAGGGTGCTGTATAATCATATTTTACTTTCTTTACACAGGATGCTGTATAATCCTATTTTACTTTCTTTACACAGGGTGCTGTATAATCATATGTTACTTACTTCTCACAGGGTGCTGTATAATCATATGTTACTTATTTCTCACAGGGTGCTGTATAATCATATGTTACTTTTTTTACACAGGGTGCTGTATTGTCATGTTGCTTACTTTGCATATGGGCTATTGTACTGTTGTATGTTATGTAGTTCAAATAAGGGTTTCCGTACTCTCACATGACTGCTGTAAGGTGGTACGTTACACATGAGTGGTCGTACTTCAAAAGTGTTAGTGTATTATTGCATTGTTTTGTTCCAGTTACCATAAAATTGCATGGCTTTTTAAATTGACTAATAATTTCAGAGAGAAAGTAGAAATATATGGCTCACTTAGGCCTCGCCTATGAGACCAGTGTTAAACTATGTCTGTACTAGAACTCTACGTATATATTTGTTTAAATTGGATGTAACCAAATGATTATTGTATTGCTTGGTCTAAACTTTCCACCTACGCTTACAGCACAAAAAGGTTCCACAAAACTAACAAACTATCATCAAAAGTGTTTTTTTTCTCCTCCAAAATTCTAACTATATTGAAAAGTAGCTGTTTATGTCCCTTCATTTAATGTGAGTGATCTATTTTGTTTTTCAAGATTCCACTCCCACTAATGTTATATATAAGTATTGTAATCATTAATGTTTTTACACTAAGTGTGTTTCTCTCCTCGTTATAATCTTTTGCAATCTGGAGTAAAAAAAAAATTAATGGCTTTTGGTCAGTTTTACTTTCTATTTTGAGTTTTGAAAAACTGATTTAACAACTAATACGACATCTTACGAAACTGTGATTTGTGATGAATTTCACCTACTCATTACCATTTTCATTTACCAACTAGGATACCATTTTATAAGGCCATGGTTTCTGGCGAGGTTTACCATCTATTTATCATCCTAGTTTACCAACTAGGATACCATTTTATAAGACCATGGTTTCTGGCGAGGTTTACCATCTATTTACCATCCTAGTTTACCAACTAGGATACCATTTTATAAGACCATGGTTTCTGGCGAGGTTTACCATCTATTTACCATCCTAGTTTACCAACTACGATACTATTTTTACACACCTTAATTTCTGGAGAAATTTTACTTGCATGTTCTGTGCTTTTTAACTTCTCTTTAGGAATCTGAAGAGGATTGCATGTCTCCAAGATTCCGTTGTGTATAATCTTACTTTCTGGATAATTCTACCTGTTTTTTAGGACTCTTAACCAACTGATTCTACAAGCAGCATTTTCCAAGCTGTGGTTCCTGATGAATTTTTCAAGGTGTTTGGAATTTAAAAAAATATTTTTATCAAGTAAGTAAGCGTCCATCTAACACATCTGTGGTTTCCGGGTAATTTTACCTAACGTTAAGAATGTTTAAGAACATTTTTATCAAGCAAGCGTCCAATTAACACACCTGTGGTTGCCGGGTAATTTTACCTAATGTTAAGAATGTTTAAGAACATTTTTATCAAGCAAGTGTCCAATTAACACACCTGTGGTTGCCGGGTAATTTTACCTAATGTTAAGAATGTTTAAGAACATTTTTATCAAGCAAGTGTCTATTTAAAATAGCTGTGTTTTCGGATAATTCAACCTGATGCTTGAAACTTTTAAGAACCTTTTCAACAAGTAAGAATTCGTTTTACGAAACAGAGTTTGCAAGGTAATTGTCCCTGATGTTTACAGTCTTTAAGAACCCATTTTACACCGGAAGGGTGGGTGGGTGAAAAAGGTCAATTGTTCATCATTGCACTTTTTAATAAATAGATCCTTATAGAAATGTCGATAGGTATCAGAGAAAATGTTAACAGAGAATGGTAATATTTCCAATGTGTATGCGTGTTTTTTTGTTTTTTTTGTTGTTGTTATTCTACTTCATTTTGATCTAATTAACTTGGTAGTTGATGTAATGTTGAATATTCTAAAAATAATAATATTGGAGTATTATCTTCATATCTATAAGCCATAGATTCAATGTTAGTTTAGGAAAAATACAATACTGCCTATAAATGATATTTGTATTTTACTTTGAAATACGTAGTACTCCAAATAAATCAAGCTGGAATGTCTATGGGTAACCGAAAACAAATGAAAGTGTCAGTTTTTGCATATTGTTTTTTATGTCTGTCTGTGACTTATTAGGCGTGGCGTAGCATGTTTACGTCACGTTGCTATAGATCCAATGATTGATAGAAGGGCGACTGTCAAATCGTACTTTTCGATTAAGAACGGCAAAAGAGTTGGAGGCTGGTGCATTGGTTAGCTGCCCTCCCTCTATTTTAACAGAAACCATTTTACCAAGTGAGAAAAACCTTAGTAAATGATTTTTAATAAGTATTCAAATGCCTCAAGAGCTGATCAAAAGTATAATTCAACGACTGATCATTAGCAGGCTGACATGAAATGAAGGTAACTGTTTTATGCGCGTACTTCACATCTGTATATCTCATGTATTACTGGAAAAATTAAATCTTGTTCTTAATGAAAAAGGCCCGGCATGGCCAGGTGGTTAGGGCACTCGACTCGCAATCTGAGGGTCGCGGGTTCGAATCCCCGTCACACCAAAAAATGCTCACCCTTTCAGCCGTGGGGGCATTATAATGTGACGGTCAATCCCACTATTCGTTGGTAAAAGAGTAGCCCAAGAGTCGGCGGTGGGTGGTGATGACTAGCTGCCTTCCATCTAGTCTTACACTGCTAAATTATGGACGACTAGCGCAGATAGCCCTCGTGTAGCTTTGCGCGAAATTCAAAACAAACAAACTTACTGAAAAATTGTGGTTCAACGGTAAGTTTACGGATTTAGAACGTTAAACTCCGGAGTTCAATTCTCAACGGAAGACAGGGCGTACATAACCTACTAGGTAGCACTGCGCTGGAAAAACAACCAATTATGCTGCAAATTTCTATAAGACAGAGCGTACATAACCTACTAGGTAGCACTGCGCTGGAAAAACAACCAATTATGCTGCAAATCTCTATAAGACAGAGCGTCGCTATTGGTTGTAAATGAAACTATAAATACTTACATCAGTTATTTCATTTACGTTTTTCATCAGATATAAAGACAATTTATGGTGTGAGAACTAAAACACATAGTTATAAAAATATACAAGAAACTAGCCCTATTTTCACAACTGCTTGCTTGTTTGTAATTTTTTGCACAAAGTTACATAATGATTATTTACGCATGGTCGTCCCTAATTTTGAACTTTTAGGAATAGATTAGATTAAAGGCAGTTAGTCAACAACACACACCGCCAACTCTTGCCTGAACGAATTGTGAAATTTGACCATCACACTTGTAGTGCACCCATAGCCCAAAGTGCGAAATGCGTCTTTTGTGGCAACGGGACACGAGCCATGAATTCTTAGGTTCATATTCCGGCCACACAAACTAATGTACCACACACGACCCTACAAAAAATGAGCAATTGCTTTGATTATAATTTCACGGTAACGTATATGTTATATTAGATCAACGGTAAGCTTAACGCTACGACTTAGGATTCGATTCCTGCAGCGGACAAAGCGCAGATAGCTCATTGTACAGCTTTACGCTTACACAAATAATCGTTAGAGTAAGATTATCATAGACTTCTTCCTGTGAGGTAACCTAATAACAGATAAGTTAAAGTAAGGTGATTATAATTTATTATTGATTATATTTGTAATAATGTTAGTCTCATTATGAGTTAATCCATAGTTTTGTTTTGAGTTTACTTACTGATTATAGCTCTTACATAAAGGAAGAATATTTTAGAAAAGGTACGACGTTTCGATCACTAGAGTGATCATTCTAATGTGCACAAGTTTTAACCGTAAAGAAGGTTTTAGTATTTAAGTCAACATTCAACAATCTAAAAATGTATAATGTTTTAGAACTTGCAGTGGTTACTTATGCCTGTGCATATCAATATGCGTGAATTGACAGATTTATTTGTGTCTAAACAGAAACAAAAAGTGAATAAATATGAAATACGTTTAAGCGGAATATTTGCATTAGATTAGGAATGTCTGGGAAAATAGTGATCAAAGATATATAAAGATGTGTCTCTGGTTACTTAGCG